ACTTTTGTATTCCTTGTCATCCCTATTGTCTCTACCACTTGTCTCATATCTTGTTCTGTAATTTGTAAATCTATTTCCCATTTCCCACATACTTTTCAAGTCCCGTATTGTACACCTGTCGGCCTCTATTAACATTGTATATATTTTACTGGCCTGTGCATTGTTTTCTTCTATTTTTTTCTCTCTCATTATCTTTTCAAAGGTGGTATCTTCTCTTTTTACCATATTAATATTTTCTTTAGTATTTAGATAGGTACAAATCGCTCTTATCTTATAGAATACTAATATTATACAGTATGTAAATCTAGAAGACTTGTCTCCAAAAGGATTAATATTTGAAAGAAAATAATCCTCGTGGTGTTGGTGGGAATTGTAACTGTTGTGTTTGTATATGTGTATGTCCTAAAATAAAATAAAATTTAGAAAGGAAACTATGATGACGAACAGAGGAAGTGTCAGCGTGTGTATAAAATATTTTTCCATGCATGACATTATTTTGCAATCACACTGTTCTGTGCAGGAAACATTTTAGGGAGATCAGACAATGCAATCTTCTGCTATCATTATTATCACCTAGGTTTCCCAGTCAATCCAAGTTTATTGACCATTTGTGATAGAACTATCAATGGATGGTAAGACATGTTCCAGATGAGTGTTGCTTTTTATCATTGTGTTACAACAATCCTATCCAAGGTGAGCTAATTCAGATGTTTCATCGGTTTGTTTGGAATTTCTCTCAGAACTTCTGTCACCTCTGGAACCACACAGTTGTTTTATTTTCTGAGGCATTGGATCTCAACCTGTAGGACTTGATATGGGATTGCCCTAACAATAATCCATTTTTTTTTTATTCTCCTACAACTCCTTCTCCCTCCTTCTTCTCTTTTTCCTTTATAGTGGCTATGTATAATCTATGTTTTCCTACTGCATCATCGAGCTTTTCTTCCTTGACCTCTCAAATATTGCAAAATGGAACAACTGTCCAATTCCTCTTCACCAACAGCACTAGACACTTCTATCTGGAAGTGTCTCAGGTCCTCTATTTTTTCTACCCACAGAGAGAAAAGGGGGTTCAGCTAAGCAGACAAATGGCAGGGAGAAGAAGGGCCTATTCACCTTGGTAACTGGTACTTTTGATGTCCAGGAGGGATATCAATCCACTCTTGCTTCTAACACAAAATTTAAATGAGCTAAACAAGTACTGTAATTATTTGTGAGAGGAAGGCACAACACCTTGGAAAGTGCCTTTAAAATTCAAAGCGGATTCACTACTCATGACTTCATCACATACAATAAAATCAGCCATCACATGGTGCAAGCACTTACCATGGGTTCCAGGTACTTTGCCGTTTCTAAAGTGTGAGTTTTTCTGAAGATTCCTAAGTCAATTGGAAATCAACTTCTTTTAGAGTTTTATTTTATTTATGCTTATATTTTGTTTTGTTAATCTTCTTGTTATGTTGTTTTTTTACTTTTTATGTTTTGTGATGTTACCTGGAAACCGCTCTGAGTCCTCTCAGGGAGATGGAGCAGTATATAAAGAAAGTTTTAGTTTTATATATATTATTTTTTTCAATTCCCCACATAGAGATGGGCAAAATGGTCAGTTTGCCCTGTGTGATGTTAATCCCTGTTGCCCGCTTGTAAATAAAACAATAACACCATGTGGGAGAGAAGCCAAAATGCCCATTTCCCCACGATCGTCAATGCTGAGGCTTGGGGAAAGAACCGGGTTAATGTAAAACTGCTTCCTATGAGAAATAATTGAAATCCTGGAGGGGCAATTAGAGGAAACAAATCTAAAGAAAGCAGAGAAAAGGAAAAGGTGTGATGGCGGAAATGGTGGCAACATCTTTGGCCCGGTAAGTCGGGCCATGCCATTTATAGCTTCAAGTTCTTTTCAACTTTCATGAAATCAGGAGACCAAACAAGACATTTCCTACATAGTTATCTACTTTGGCCCTTGGGTTAGAATATCAGAAAAAGGATGTGCACCTCCTGTCTCAGGACATCCTCATGCACACACTCATATAAAACTAGAACAAGAAGCATAATTCTTTAGCCAGCAGATGGGGCTCACTGTAAAGCAAAAGAAACATTGATGGTCCCCACCACACCTCACTACCTCTGAGGATGTTGCCATAGATGCAGGCGAAACGTCAGGAGAAATGCCTCTAGAACATGGCTCTATAGCCCGAAAAAAACCCACAAGAACCTATTGATGGTCCCCTTCTCCCCAAGTGTAAAGGCAGTACCCATGGGGTGACCAGTTCCAGATGGTAGGTACCCAAATACAGCATGCTAGATGGACCCAATAACACAATCTATAGTCCATCTAGTAGGTTCACCGAAGAAACTTTAACACCACCAAAATACTGTCTTTAAAATTAGAGGTAATGAGACATTCTGGATAATATTTCCAAACACCTTGGTAGAAAAGTAAGATACAAAAGTATTCTGTTATTTTCCAAGATCATACTTCTAGTAGATATGTGAACACAATAACTGAATTGTTTGAACAGAGATTCAAACCATTCAATAACCACTGGTGCAGCGGTCAGAAGAAGTAAACAAGCAACAAGGAGAATACAGGGAAGGAAGGAAGGAAGGAAGGAAGGAAGGAAGGAAGGAAGGAAGGAAGGAGGGAGGGAAGGGAGGGAGGGAGGAGGGAGGGAGGGAGGGAGGAAGGAAGGAAGGAAGGAAGGAAGGAGGGAGGAAGGAAGGAAGGAAGGAAGGAAGGGGAAGGAAGGAAGGCAGGCAGGCAGGCTAGACTTAACATATTCCAGTCTGCCTTTGGAATAGTTTTACTCACAATGCTCAAGACCAGCGCAGAGAATTCACCTTAGAAATATTCGAAAATACAAGAGGCTCTTCCAAACTGATCTAAAGAAGCATGAGTTTTTGCAAATACTGTAGTTCATTGGGTTTTGTCGGTTGCTGTTATTTTTACATCCATTCCTTCTATTAATAGGTAAAGGTAAAGGTTTTCCCTTGACATTAAGTCCAGTCATGTCCGACTCTGGGGGTTGGTGCTCATCTCCATTTCTAAACTGAAGAGCCGGCATTGTCTATAGACATCTCCAAGGTCATGTGGCCAACATGGCTGCATGGAGTGCCGTTACCTTTCCGCCGGAGCGATACGTATTGATCTTCTCACATTGGCATGTTTTCGAACTGCTAGGTTGGCAGAAGCTGGGGCTAATGGCAGGAGCTCATGTTGCTCCCCAGATTTGAACCTGCAATCTTTCGGTCTGCAAGTTCAGCATCTCAGCGCTTTAACCCACTGCGCCACTGGGGGCTCCTCCTTCTATTAATACTGATCCAATAATGTTACCACTAACCACCATGGAGGTGGTTAGTGGCAGCATTATTGGATCAGTATTAAAGTTCTTCCAAAGTTTACTTTTTAACTAAGAGCATTGGTTTCTGGGATGATCTCACAGTTTGAAAGGCAAATGTTCTACTCAGTTCTTTTTCAGAATTATAATGCTATAGAACTAAAGTGCCATTATGCTGATGCCCTAGGCAATCACAAACCCAAGAAAATATTTATAAAATAGAAATGAGAAGAGATAGAGACTTTTTTGTTCTTATATGGCCTTGAAATAGGGCCGGAGGTTTAGCACAGCTGGTAAATCATCAGCAATTGTAAGATCTATCAACCAAAAGGTTGCAAGTTCAAAGCCCTGGGTTGGCGTGAGCTGCCAACTGTCAGCTCCAACTCATTGTTTAGCTAAGCAATTCAAAAACAGCTTTAGCTGTGATTAGATAAACTAGGTACCGCTAAAAAAGCTGGGGAGGTGTTTTAAGACGCCATAACAAAAGAAGATCAGAAAATGCTGGGTGACCAAAAGGAAGGAGGAAGTCTTGATGGCTTTTCGTCATAGAGGATGGAGCAACAGCACCCCCTGGACTTGAGCCCAACCTTCCATGGCACCTCCATGTGTTCTGTCAGTCTGTGTATTGTCTATACAAAGCGGCATTGAATGTTTGCCGTGTATCTGTACTGTGATCTGCCCTGAGTCCCCTTCGGGGTGAGAAGGGAGGAATATAAATAAAATGGGTTGTTGTCGGTTTTTTCGGGCTATATGGCCATGGTCTAGAGGCATTCTCTCCTGACGTTTTGCCTGCATCTATGGCAAGCATCTTCAGAGGTAGTGAGGTCTGTTGGAACTAGGAAAAGGGGGTTTATATATCTGTGGAATGACCAGGGTGAGACAAAGAACTCTTGTCTGCTGGAACTAGGTGTGAATGTTTCAGCTGACCACCTTGATTAGCATATAATGGCCTGACAGTGCCTAGAGCAAACTTAATTGAGAGGTGATTAAATGTCCTTGTTTGTTTCCTCTCTGTTGTGCTGTTGTAATTTTAGAGTTTTTTAATACTGGTAGCCAGATTTGGTTCATTTTCATGGTTTCCTCCTTTCTGTTGAAATTGTCCACATGCTTGTGTATTTCAGTGTATAAAAACTCTAAAATTACAACAGCACAACAGAGAGGAAACAAACAAGGACATCTAATCACCTCTCAACATAAGTTTTCTCTGGGCACTGTCAGGCCATTATATGCTAATCAAGGTAGTCAGTTGAAACATTCACACCTAGTTCCAGCAGACAAGAGTCTTTTGTCTCACCCTAGTCATTCCACAGTCATTCCTTTTTTCTAGTTCCAACAGACCTCACTACCTCTGAGGATGCTTGCTATAGATGCAGGCGAAACGTCAGGAGAGAATGCCTCTAGACCATGGCCATATAGCCCGAAAAAACCTACAACAACCCAGTGATTCCGGCTATGAAAGCCTTCGACAATACATATAAATAAAGTGTTATTATTATTATTATTATTATTATTATTATTATTATTATTGAATTGTGGTAAACAAAACTCAATAACAGGTAAACAAAACTCAATAACCTAAGAACTACATCAACAAATACTGGTGTACATGTGCCCCATCTAGAGGAGCCCGAGGATTATGAACAAGGGAAAACTGTTCAAACTTCAAAATACAGATAGCAGCATCTTTTCCTGCCCCCCAGTTCTGTAGGTTTTTGAATCAATGTGCCAGAAATGGGAAAATGGACAATGCAGACACTTACCACCAATATCCAGGTCCACCTTGTAGCCGATAAAGTGGGTGTGCATTGTTCCTAGGGTATGATCGTTAACCTTGTTTCCAAAATCAAGTCCACCGTCCTGGAGGAAAGAAGACATTATGTAGCCTGAGGGGTAAACTTTACTTTCAATGGCTCCATTTGGATAGAAGGCAAAGTTCCAGATATAGTCATAATTGCCAACGGTAGTCACAGAGCGTAAGACCAGTGCAGTGCCAGGCAGTCCTCCAAAGTAGAGAGAATAAAGATTGGAATAATGGCGCCGAAGTGGAGCCCCCGAGACCTGCTCAAAAACACAGAAGGCATCTCGGGTCAGGAGGGGCCTTTCTGATTGAGCTAAAAAGGAAACATCAACATAGGTGGCAGAATATGGGCAGTCAACCCCTCGCACCAGTGAGTTTGTGAAGTATCCAATTCCAAAGCTTGAATCCATATACCGGGTTGTCATCCCACCAGGGTTGCTGGAACCATAGACAGACATTGTGTCCTGTACACTGAGCTCATAGACAACCCGTTGCCCTTTAAACCTGATATCAAAGAGTCTCGGGCCCCTACTCAGATCCATCCTGAAGGCAAAATTCCAGGATGAGGAGTAGACCTGGTTGTTTCTCACAATATAACGTTCTCCAGAAGGCTCATAATATAAAGGGTCTGGCACAATGGAGTTCACTCTGGGCTTCAGAGAGGAAAAACCACCATCACGTGGCACCCTTTTTGGCTTCTGCACATGCAGACACCCCTCCATGAAGTCTTTCTCCAGATGTGCCAAGTCTCTGTAATATTGGCCATTGTAAAACACTTTTGTCACATTCCAGTGGGAAACATCCAGGCTACTGTGATCAAGCAGTACCTCCAGCCCAACAGGGTGCATGAAGAAACCACTGACATTTTGGCACAGGACTAACCACGTTGAGCGATCTCCAGACCTCATTCCCCGGGGAGATGTAGTCACTGCTGCTAGATTAGTCCCATCATAGCTCATGACTTCACGCATGAAGCTTGGGGCTGTGGGAAACACTTTACTGTGCAGAAAGAATGCCATCTGTTTGTATTCGGCGTTTAGGGGAGGCCTGCGATAATAAGGTATCTTCTCTCCATACTTCTGCACTGTCACATCATGGTAATAGGATGGTTCTGGCAAAGGCCCCACAATGAACTCGGTGATGTTTGGAACGGACTGGTTACCAAAGTACACGATAGCTAATGCTTGTCTAGGTGGGCGGCTTCCTCTGTTATCGAGGTATGAGAGAGATGTTGCTTTGGGTGGCAGCTGGAGGTCAATGGAATAGATGCAGTTGTCTGAAGGATTTGCATTAGAAGCATCTTTCAGTGTTGTCCCAAGATTGGTCTTCAGGTACCGAACCACCTGGAGCATTTCTTCTTGGGTCAAATCAGCAAAAAGCCAACTCCGTTCACTCTGCCGGTATTCTGGGAAAGTTTGCGGCGGCGAGGAATTGCAGTTTCCACTTCTGGACACCAAGATGCACACCAAGACAAGAATTGCAACCAAGCCCAGAAGGAGTATGATGAAAACAGTTCTCACATTCATGCTTGCAGCAGTAGAAGCCTCAGCGAAGGAGCATGAAAGAACCAAGCAGTAGTGTATCAGCTCAAAATAGTTTCCTTGAACTATGACCACCTAAGTTAAAGGCAGCAAAGAAGTGAGGGAGAGACAGAAGGAGGGGCTTGAAGAGGGTCAGCTAAAGGTGGAGGGCTCTGCTTTTCTACGCCTTACTGAGAGGTTCATGCTGAGACGGAGCCATCCCAGGGATATTGCAGACAGTGAGTCACTGGACAAGTCATACACAGTCACTCCTGGCTGCATCTTCAGTCCAGCCACCTTTCCAAAGTGTCTGTAAAGCTAGAAAGATATGGATACTTGCAGGTTTGACAGGTTCTGCATATTTGGCATATTACAGAGGTAGAACGCTGCTGCTCTCCAGTGTGAGCATCTTTGTGTCCCAAGTTAAAGGTTTATTTGCTCATTCACATACTTCTAGCCTGCTTGTCTCTCATAAGAGATGCAAGATAGGAAAATACCACAAATATGAGTTCTCATACTTTCATAAGTAATGCAAGTATGAGAACATTAGCAAAGTCACAAACACTATAAAGGTTGAGAATGCCTCTAGTCTAGAACATGACCATATAGCCCGAAAAAACCTACAACAACCCAGTGATTCCGGCCATGAAAGCCTTCGACAATAACAATACTGTTATTTAATATCTACATCCGGCCACTTGCTGGACTGGTGCGGAGCTTTGGCATAGAGTGCTACCAGTATGCAGATGATACCCAGCTACTCTTGCGTCTCGAACCTGGGACAACCGCGATTCCTGAGAACTTTAGGCTGTGTTTGGAAGCAGTGATGAGTTGGCTGCGAGCAAGCAGACTAAAAGTGAATCCTGCAAAAACTGAGATACTCTGGCCCGGCCAGCCGCCAGAATTAATCCAGTCTCTGCCTGATTTCGATGGGGAAGCTCTGGTTCCATCTGCCACTGTTAAAAGCCTTGGGGTTGTGTTGGACTCATTGCTGACGATGGAGGTCCAGATCACTGCCATAAGTAAGCAGGCCTTTTTTCATCTTCATCAGGCAAGGAAATTGGCATCCTACCTTTCGGTAGAAGCATTGGCAACAGTAATCCACGCAACAGTCACCACGAGGTTGGACTATTGCAACACCTTATATGCCGGCCTTCCGAAGTCAACAACCCAGAAGATTCGGATGGTCCAAAATGCAGCGGCCAGGCTGCTAACGGGATCATCTATAAGATCCCATATCACACCGATTCTGCAACAACTGCATTGGCTACCAATAGAACATCGGATCTCTTACAAGATACTGATCCTGATATTCAGAGCTCAAAATGGCCAAGGACCTTTATATCTTAGGGACCACCTCATTCCTTTTCTCCATCAGTGGTCACCTCGATCCACCCAGGAAAATCTCCTATACATACCGGGCCCAAGGGAGGTATCCTGGAAGCTACAAGGCATAGAGCTTTTTCGACCTATGCTCCAATTCTGTGGAACTCCTTGCCTCCATACATTAGAGCAATGTCGGAGTTGCAACCTTTTGTAAAGGCACTCAAGACTTGGCTGTTTGGTTGTGCATTTAAGTAATCAGATCTAATTTGCCAAATAGTCACTGTTGAATGTTTTTATGTTGAATGTTTTTATATTGTGTAAATGCTATTTTAGATTGTAAGTCGCTCGGAGCACCTTGGTGGAGAGCGACTAATTAAGAAATAAAGTGAAGTGAAGTGAAGTATAAAGGTTGCCAGCTCTTTTTCACAACAAAGAGAATGCTGCAAAATACACCAGGTCTGGTTCAAACTCAAAACCACAATAAGCCTTAAGGCAGCGTTTCTCGATCTTCCTAATGTCGTGACCCCTCAATACAGTTCCTCATGTTATGGTGACCCTCAACCATAATATTATTTTTGTTGCTACTTTATAACTGTAATTTTGCTACTGTTATTACTTGTAATGCAAATATCTGATATGCAAGATGTATTTTCATTCACTGGACCAAATTTGGCACAAATACCCAATACGTCCAAATTTGATTACTGGTGGGGTTGGGGAGGGGTTGATTTTGTCATTTGGGAGTTGTAGTTGCTGGGATTTATAGTTCACCTACAATCAAAGAGCATTCTGGACTCCACCAATGATGGAACTGAACCAACCTGGCTCACAGAGCTCCCATGACCAACAGAAAATACTGGAGGGTTTGGTGGGCATTGAGTTTGGAGTTGTAGTTCACCTACATCTAGAGCACAAATAAATGATGGATCTGGACCAAACTTGCACGATAACTCAATATGCCCAAATGTGAACACTGGTGGAGTTTGGGAAAAATAGACTTGACATTGGGCAGTTGTAGCTGCTGGGATTTATAGTTCACCTACAATCAAAGAGCATTTTGGACTCCACCAGCGATGGAACTGAACCAAACCTGGCTCACAGAGCTCTCATGACCAACAGAAAATACTGGAAGGGTTTGGTGGACATTGAGTTTTGGAGTTGTAGGTCACCTACATCCAGAGAGCACTGTGGACCCAAACAATTCTCGTTCCTGCTCCACCCGGCCACCAGGTGCGAGCAGAGCTGGCGCTCAATCGTTCTCCGTGTTCAATCCCTTCCCCATGACCGGCTCCCTTTCCCGATCCCCCGGCGCTCCACCCACCTCCTCTCCTCTCTCCAATCTGCGGGTGGGCCAAGGGGCGGAGCCGCCGCACCTGGCCTGCTTCGGGTCCGGAGGCGTGTCTGAAGACCCCAGCGTGCACCAAAAGTCACCTCTTCTCCTGACTTTCTCTTCAGCCATTGGGACCAAGAGAGAGAGAGAGAGAGCCTCCGCTGGAGGTATCTCCCACCTCCGCTCCCTCCTTTGTTTTTGCGCCTACCTTCAAGAAAGGTGGGCATCTCCACCTCTGTCTCTCTCTCTTGGTCCCAATGGCTGAGGAGAAAGTCAGGAGGAGAGGTGACTTTTGGTGCACACGCCGGGGTCTTCAGGCACGCCTCCGGACCCAAAGCGGGCCAGGCAAGAGAGCAAATGCGGCAAGTGTAGTTACTGGGATGTATAGTTCACCTACAATCAAAGAGCATTCTGAACTCCACCAATGATGGAATTGAACCAAATATGGCACACAGAACTCCCACGACAAACAGAAAATATATATCAATGATTGGTTGGGGGGTGGGGCGCCAAAATACTGTTTGCTTACCGTTGAAAATTACCTAGGGCCGCCTCTGGGTATGATTCTACAGGAAAAAGCACAATTTGACCCCTCCTTTTTTCCTTCCTTCTAAGTGCAAACTACTTTTGCATTTCAACTCAGTTTACCACATTGGAAGCAAGCTGAGGACAAAAACAGAAAGTGGGAAGAGAAGAGAAAAACTGAGACATTTTAAAAAACAGCTGAAAAAATGTGATGCCAAAAAGTTACTTGTGACAGTACAAGGGCTGCAAAGTTGGAAGTATTTGCTTTGTTCTCATTGAACTCAGGGAATTTTCTCCAATCCTTCAGTCCTTGGGATTATCACTATAACTAGAGACATCAATCAGACAATTCACATAGTGTTGAATTGTCAGTTTTTTCTGACACGCATCATTTACCTTCTCCCACCAATATGTCTCCCGTATGAAGCGCATCCTAATTGCTCTGGAGTTTAACTCCAATCCTTGACGACAGGAAGACTACAGGGCATTTGAGTCTCTCTGTGCCTGGTCCAGCTGAGGAAAGAAAAACACAAGCACACCCAGCCAGGAGAGAGGCTCTGTATGGGAATTTCCATTTCTGCTTCCTGCCTTCCCCCTATTTTGGTTTCCTGACACATGTCTCCTGCGGTGAATGTGCCTTTTCTCTCATTCTGAGGGCGGATGACTGCTCGCCTCTGATGGCCTCATATTCCCGTTCCATGTTAGGTCATACACTCACTCCTTCTTTGGATGTCCTTCACCAAAGGTTAACATTAGCAGCAAACCCCTGCCTGCACGAGCTGTTTCTAGCCTGTATTTCCATCAGTAGCTGCTCCCTCCACAGGTTCATGTCTTGCACTTTTCTGTGAATTGTGAGTTTGCACAGAAAGAAATGCAGTGTATCATTTCCAGAAAATAATTTCCTTAGTTTTCAGCAAAGCTGCTAGTAGAAGACAGCAATAGGGAAAGCCTTTCTTTTGTGGGGTACAGGGGGTTCCACTATAAAATTAGTGGGCACATGCAAAGACAGCTGTGGTTGTTTGGCCTATACATTTTGCCCATTCTTGGGGGCCCTCCAGATGTTCTAGATCAGGGGTCCTCAAACTTTTTAAACAGAGGTCCAGGTCACAGTCCCTCAAACTGTTGGAGGGCCGGATTATAATTTGAAAAAAATAAATGAATGAATTCCTATGCACACTGCACATATCTTATTTGAAGTGCAAAAACCCATTAAAAACAATACATCAATTGGAATGAAGTTTATATTTTAACAATATAAACTTATTAGTATTTCAATGGGAAGTATGAAATGGGAATGCTTTTAGGATTGTTCTTGTTGTGTGCTTTCAAGCAGTTTCAGACTTAGGTTGACCCTGAATGAGGGCCGGGTAAGTTACCTTGGAGGGCCGTATCCGGCCCCCGGGCCTTAGTTTGAGGACCCCTGTTCTAGATCATCGGTTCCCAAACTCTTGTTTTGCAGAAATCTAGGATTCTATGAAAGGATTATAAGGGTTCCACTAAAAACCCATGCCAGCGTATGAAGATCTTATTGAAATTCAGTGTACCTTTGCTTTAAATACAAAATTCGAATCTGTGCCACTGAATTAATATTGAGTAGAACGGATAGACGTATATCTGTCAGTAGCCAGAAAGGCTATCTGAGCAATGCTCCTCTTCATTTCCACCTATCAATATGAACCAACATGCACATGCCCTGCCACATGCACAATGGAGGACCTTCTTGCAGCAACACCAGAAGCACTCCAAGTGGCCAGATACTGGTCAAAGGACATTTAATCAACTACGAAACTCACAAATTTTGTATTTTGTCTGTTTGTTTGCTTTG